AAAGCATAACAACCATATGAAATCTAAAGACTGAACTACGACTTTCCAGAAATCTTGACCCCAGGACATTAGCTTGAATTCCACAAAACACACACTACCAGCTTCCTACGAACAGCTTTCCGCATTTAGAATCTTGAAAAGAGCCTGTATCGAGCAACTATTATTGTCTTATTTCCATTGCTAATGACAGAATTTGTTCCATATGTGGAGCATCATTTAGAAATTCTACCATTTCTGCCTGGAAAGGGGGAAAAAAAGGATTTTTTTTTTTTTTGGCAAAATGGAAACTTTTGTCACTTCCAGCAGGTATGCTCCAAAACAGATTTATGTGTGTATATGTGCGCACACACATGATGTGTATTCGGACTCTGGTGGAGCTGATGACGTAGCAAAAATCTAGAACCTGCCAACGTGTGAGAGGGTAATTGTCTTAATATTCCACACTCTGAAGAATGTCTTTCCTATTAACCTGCCCGCATGCCTGAGTGGCTGCAAGCAAGCAGAAAACTTGCTCACCTGCGCTTCTCACACTGAAAATCACCGATTCATGAGCATCTGGGAAAGTACTTTAATTAGGAATAGGGCTTTCGTGTAACTTCATTTTAGGGTTCTATTCTTGATACGTTCTTAATTAAGAATAGATGAAAACATCACGTGATTGGAGTCCTCGATGGGCACAGCTCAGGAGAACTGATCCTCGGTTTGATGAACAATGTGTAAATTCCCCCGTTTTCAGCTAAAGTATTTAAGGGCCTGATATAAATTTAATAGACACAGATAATCATCTTTACCCAGGGTATAACCAATGAGGTAGAAAGTATTCCTGGGAAACTGAGAGGCTACATGTGGTGCTCTCTTCATGTTAAGACTATTTATAGGCCGAGCCAAAATGAAGCATAAGCAATGGAAAAAAATAGTTCAGGGCTTCCATCTCAAGGTAGATGTTAAAGGAGAGAGAGCTGCGGATCCATATACACGGTCGAGGAGATAACACGGTGCAAATGAATGCATCCAAATCATTTTTACCATAAAGGAAATATTCCCGATATGGAGTATAAAAGAACAGAAACATGTAACCATGAAGAATAAATGAGAATAAGTGGGTCCCCTCATGGGGTCGTGGCGTGGAGCAAATAAGAAAGTTTCTAAGGAAGGATAGGAAATGAGGATGGTAAAAGAAAATGCCCTGGGATGAAAAGAGAGGTCGGCTGAGTGTCTAGAGCAGCTAATTCCCCTGCTGACGCCATATAGACCGGCCTGAGTGTGCTCTGGGCACACTGTTGCTATTAGAGCTCTAGGCTAGCAAAGCAACCTCTCAGAGGCTCAGTAAACAGAAGGGAGGGGGAGGGGCGGTAGGGGAGGCGGGATACCCACTCGCCTACGTGAGCCCTATAACTTTTACACCCAACAATGCAGGTAGCCTCACTCAACATGTGCACATGCTGAAAAATATACCTCTTTGGCCAACAAAAAAACACACACTAAAAAGAAAAAAGCTTGAAACAGTCCGGCTGCTCAGGTAAAAACGTGGTCAGTCTCCCATGCTACTCAAAAGTCATACAAGGACTCTACAGCTAACCAGGGATTCTACAACCAGAAAGTCTGAAGGAAGTAGAAATAGCGTGTGTGTGTGTGTGTGTGCGCGCGCGCGTGTGTGTTTTAACGCCACATTCACATGAGCTTGGAACAAATATTCCTATGGAGAGCAATAATATAAAAGAAAGTGCCAGTAAAGGGGGAGGGGGAGGGGCTGAAAGTAAAGTGACATGACCTTGACCCCAACTCTCACCCCTCCCACCATCCTTAAAGTAACATCTCTTACTCCTGAGCCTGGGGATTTTTCCGGATAATGGCAAATATAAATAAAACACTTGGGGCAGGGTTGGAAGCCAGCAGGGAAAAGCTAGCAAGTGTACAGGTAACATACAGCAGATACACAACAGCGGTTAGTGAGAGGAAATCTGACAGCCTACCGATTATTAACGTGAAAAGAAAACAAGTGGTACAAAGCAATATGCACTCCTCGCATGCCCAAAACACGTTTTCAAATAATGCCTTGTTTCCTAAAAGGTAAATTCTGAGTTTATGAAAATCCCCAGGATTCACAGGTATTCCAGTTACCATCCTACTGATAGGATTACCCAGACACAGACGATAAACTACCCGTTTCCTATCTCGACTTTTTTTTTCCAACTGTCATGATGACTCTATGTTATGATGCAATCTTTTGCAGAATCAAGTCGTTTGACCACTGTGCTTCCCTGAAACCACACTGTCTTCCAATTTCGGTGTTAATATTATTATTACAAAGAATAACAAGTTACTCAGGGGAGAGTGACATAGGATGTGAAAGTTTTGCTGTCTTCCGGCTGAAATCCAACGCGAGCTCCCGCTCTCTTCCCCAGCAAAGCAACTTTGAGACGCTCGCTGGGTTTGGTACTCGAAGCTACACTTGAAGCAGTGACAAAGGGGCGGGGGTGGGGGGGAAGACACCAAGGATCCAGATCTAGCGCTGAGTCCCCAGGTTTGCCAAAGTCTGAGACCAGGACTCTAGACGCACCCGCTCCCCCCTTTTTTTTCCCCTTAGAGCGAGATCGAACAGAGGCTCCCTCGCCCTTGTCTCCAAACTCAGTATCTCGCTACAGCTGGTGCATTGGAAGTTATGAGCACAAACAGATGCTGCAGAGAAATCTGTTTCTATTGCTCAACTGTTCCAAGCATGTCTCAGTATTTTTAGCTCTGGGGGTGTTCTGGTGCGCGCACAAACTCTATAGGCATGGTCTGGGACTCCGGAGCGTGGGTGAGCGCTAAGGCAGAGTGACAGCTGGGCACCTCTGGGGCGGCGGGGCAGGGGAGGGTCGGGGACGGCAGCCCGAGTCCACTCCCCGGGACGCACAGGCAACGAGAGGAAAGGAGGGAAGAAAAGACACAGCAGCCCTTACCTGTTGCCGGCGCAGGAGCATGGGGACATGGCGTGGAAGTGGGGGGTTACAGAGGCATGTAAGATCCAGGAGTTTGTACAAGCGAGCGAGCCAGGGCGAACCAGCATTCCCAACACCCAGCTTGCCGGCGCCGGGCGGGCTGCGCGCTGGCCGGGGCTCCAGGGCGCTCTGAGCTTTCCTGGGCTCTTTTGAGGCGTCGCGAGCCACCGGCCCGCCTGGCCCCGCCCCCGGCCGCGCCGGCCAATCGCAGCGCGCCTGGCC